TATGTAGTGATAATGACTGTACTGAGAGACAACAGTACCCCAATGCTAAAGCCATTCAGAGGCTTGAACACTTTTTTTTTGTTTCTCCAAACAAAATTTGGAGAAAGCAAACAATGAATAGTAAATGCTAAAAATAGTAAAATGCAATATGACCACTCCATTCCAACACAGCTGCCTCTTCCATCCTGACATGATCCGTCAGTCGTCACTGGAGTATTTTGCTGTATCAAGAAACAGCGGCAAGAGTGCAGCCTGCCGTGCAAGGAACATTACTGTAGGCACGAAAAGGAAGCATACCTTTGCTGATCAGCTTGACTGCTTATGCAATCATTATACAAGCACCTTGGCCATTGTGAAATTTTTCTGCAATTGTACCACGGTCAACTATAGGTGAAATTCTGTTCTTTTCCTTGCTGCATGACATGTGCAGTATATACAGCTGGTGTACAGAAGACCTTTCTCCTTTCCAGACATCTTCTACATCATCTCTCAGTGGAAGAAGGCAGTAGTAGAACAGTGAAGTCTAGCACCCCTTGCCTAGAAAAAACCTCCCTGGCATTTCTGGTAAGATGGCTAGGAGTTGTCCAGCAATGGTTGATGGCTCACGGAGGACAGGCAGAAAACCAGAGAGCCACAGAAAAAAGCAGAAACTCAACACAAGAAAACCCATAAAGCTTATGTGTTTTACTAGATCTCAGAGGCCTGAAGTTGCAATGTAGCTTGCACAGCAGCTCTGTCTGTGGTAACAATCTAGAAAATGCCAGCTGCTTCTGTTCACCAGTTAGGAAGGCAGAGGTGAATAAAATTCCCCAGCATGGAAGTTACCAGCTCAGCAAGGGCAATCTGATCTACTAAAACTGCAGAACAACGCAACCTTTTTCTCACTGCAGTTCAATGTAAGTAAAGCTGGTTCATGTTCATGGATATGTGATGCTGGTCAACTGCCAAAGCCCAGATACATTGGCATGGAACTGCACTGCCCATTCTTTGACAGTAGCATGTTTCTTCTATTCTTTAGAAAAATAAAATGGATTGCATTGGGTGGGGGAGGGGGGAGGAGGGAAAGAGGTGACGTGACAAAATGAAGGGCAGGAAAGCCTGCTGTCTGTATATGGAGACTGAATCATAGCACGACTGCTAACCTCCAACTGCCATGGCAAGCATTTATTATCTCCCTAAGGAGCATTGTGGTTCTTCATCCATTTCAGATTTTTCTGGATTCCCTCATACTTTAATTTGCATATGTGAGAGAAGAAAAAAAAGAAATGGTGTGTTAAACTCTTGTAACACTTTCCAGCTCTCAAGTCCACATTTTAAAAAGGCCAAATATAACAAGAGACAGGCAACAGAGGGAGAGAGGACAACCCTACTATTCACATGACTTTAAGTCTTATGCAAGTTTGGTCTCAAACAAACATGTCTTGACCTCACAGGTAATGGGTGCTCCAGCTATGGCATTTTTTTCCTCAGGATTTCACCCTCTGAAATGCTGACACAGGTTTAAGTTTACATGTTGATTATTAGCTTGGATTTAAAGACATTTCTTCTGTAAAAAGTATTTATGGTTTGACAGTTAAAATGTACCATAACCTCATTTCCTGCTATAAAGAAACTCAAGTAATGAAATATAAAGCATATATTGAATCCAAAGTATACAGGTTTTGCTGTATTTGCAAAGACTTCTTCACCTCACCTTTTCTGCACTGCGTCAAGAATATAAAAGCAAATCAACAACTTCAACCTTACAATTATTAACAATATATACTTAAAGTAAGGATATGAACTCAAGATAGATGGAGGAAATGCAAAGCACTGAAATCCAACAGGCTGAATTTATTCCTAGTGCTCAGTACATACAATTTTCCTTAACGTGAGAGAGATACTTTGCACCAGGAGTGAATTTAAATGCATGACTACGATGTGTGAAAATGCTTTTGTTCCACAACAGGGAAGGTATCTGCATCAACATAATTTATGGAGTTGTATGAGTTTTATTTCATCTTAATTGCTGTTTGTGTTATTTCCGTAACAAAAATTTAATAAATTTAAGTGCTGCTTCCAGTTTTCCCCCAACGACTTATTTCTACCTCTGATGAGAAAGGCTGTGCTGGTCAAGTGCTCTCAGTCATACTGACTGAGATTCAATGACTGAATTAAATTATATACTTGCCATTTATAAAGTTCCTGAGGACCTTGTCTGTCTCACATTGGAACTGTAGCATTACTTAGGTAGCGTCCAGTGGGTCTTCAGGTATGCCCAGACCATACCGCATCTTCTCATACATTTTCATTTGTTGAAAAAACCCATAATTATGTGCTTTATTAATCAATTTATTGAACTACGAAGAATCACCTCTGAACAGGCACCTAGCAAAACCACTGGCCCCAGAGATCGATTGAATCATAACAAAGCTCTCTGCAACCAAAGCCAAAGAACTCAACATTCTCTGAGAGTCTTAAGTAAATCCAGATTGGGGGGAGGAGGGGTAGTTTCCCTGAATCAGCAGACCATAATCCTCACATCTTTCCATTGAAAGAGTGAGGTACCCTGGGAAAGAAGCCATATAGGACATCTTTCTCTTTTCCACATAATGATTTAGAAGAGAGAATCCAGCTTCCCCATAACTTTTAATTTTTTACTATAAACAACAGGGCTAAGGCTGAAATATCTTCTACTGTGGCACAGAAGACAACATAGTCTTCCATCAAACATCCTACTTCCCTCTTTGCCATTATCATTTGTATCTGATGGTTGCTAATAAAAGACTTCTCTAAAATTGATGAATCAGTAACACTATTCAGTCTTGTTAAGCTATAACAAAAGCACTGTCTACACTAACAACACTGCAATACAACCTATCAGCATTTGGCAGATAATTCCATGAAGATAAGATACAGATAAGCACATGTAAGGAAAAAAAGAAAAGCTAATAATTAAAAAAAAAATAATAACCAACAAGTGGCTAATCAATAGGACTAAATCTGAGAGTATAAGGTGGCAGAGGAAAGAAGGAAATGCACATAATTGCCTCAAATATTTAGAGATTGGATGGATTTAGCAGGAGTGCATCAGGGAGAATTTGTAACTGGTAGTGGGCATTACAGCCAGAACTCTATTTTCTTTTGCATTACTGAAGCAATGAAATCACATTCTGGCCTAAGAAGATATGGTACACATAATATTGGCTCAGAATTGTGGTAGTCCAGTTCTTAATGACTTCAGTCCTTGCCTGACATCTCTATTCAAGAACTGTCAAAATTAGCACAATGAACCATGACCTAAAAGCCACAGTACACTTGCAGGATATGTGAGGCAATATCAGAATGTAGATGCATCTTACACACAGGCCAATTCATCAAATGCTTTGAGTTAGGTATACTGGCTCTAAAGCCTCTTCTAACAGTTGTGTGTGAACAGAAACGAAGTAAGAGAGAATGGGTGAGAATTCTTTCTTTTACAAAACATCACAGAGAATTAGATTAAATGAAACCAGAAACACTGTGTATGCAGGATGGACTATAACTCAGGGGTCTGATTCATTCGTTTCTGCACAGATCTTCCATGCAGACCTGGAGCTCACATACGCTTTGCTGCAGCTATTCAACAGCATAATGCAAGCAACAGTCCTTTTACCAGCCTTGCTTTGAACAGCAGAAACCTTAAAAACGATCTCTTACAACTCTTTACTTGGTGTCCAACACAACGGGCACTATAAAAAAATCAAAACCATTCTCATATAATGGGTGCTAAAATGAAAATAAACATTCTAAATCTTTGCCAGCCCTGGAAGAAATAGAAAAATATCTGCAAGACCACAAGATAGCTGGTTCTTGGCAAGTAACTTAGAAGACTAACTTATGTTTGATGCAATACTGTATTCATTTTCTTGCTACTTTGTAGCAGAAAAAATGGCATATTTACAACACACATAAGTATCTCTTACAAACTGTCACTAAATCTCTGACTCCAAATGAAGTTACCAAGCAACATAAATGAAGCCTTGATATCATTGTTAAGAGCAAATGCAAAACATGGAAGTTTTTTCTTCTCTAATTACCTATTTAACAACTGTAAATACATTGTGTGTATTGTGTTTACCTGTCACTTAAGTACTATCAAAATAAATCATTCTTATGGTAAGTAATCAAGAAGTTTATGACTCAGATAAATATTACTTCTATATATCTGTATTCTAAAATAGACCTGTTCACAGCTATCTTCAGGATTGACTACATGTAGCAAATCCATAAAGAAAAGCCTCTTGAAAAAGCTCTTAAGATGGGCAAATCCATCAAACTATTTAAAAAGCTCCGTTAATTAACAAGCACCATTATACATGAACTCCATACCACCAATGGAAAAGGAAGCTAAGTCCTTCTCTCTCCCTAAAGTCAATGAGGTAATTTTAATTTTCAAACAACTAGTCTGTTTAGGAGCCAAAATAACAATTAAAGGAAGACTACTTCGGCTTTTGTCCTAGGACCCAGATTCTTACGGGTATATCGGTGCCCATTTCCCACCCATTTCTGTGGCACACAGTTACCTAAATGTTTACCTAAAACTGCCCTCAAATACTACTGAAGCTGTATGTCCCCTTGAAAATTCCAGGTAATGATTTGATCACTTGAAGGAGGAAAATAACCCAGCGACAGTGACCAACACGTCTCTTATACATGTTGATCACAGGAAACACACAAAACATCAACTGTGGTCTTGTAATCTCTCTCATAGTTGTTGAGCTGAGCCCAACATCGACTTCCCACTGAAGTCAATAAATTTGTATTACGTGGCCTGCAAGAGAAGATTCCTTCTGAAAGATCACTGAAATTCATTTCCCAGCACTAAAATACTGCTTACACATCTATGTAAATCTTTTAATGATGGGATGCTGTAAATGCTATTTCTGTTGAGTACTTATATAATAGCTGGCAATTAATTGCTTCAGTAATCAGATTTTCTTGTTAAATTTAAATTAATATGTAAGGCAAGCTAAAATTACCTTGATTTTCTTCCAGCTTTCCAATTGTTTCTATCTGCTCAACAAGGTCATTTGAGTTCCACTGGCTCATGCCTATGAGAATGGCACTTTTTCCTTCCACCATCTCTTCTGTAGGAAGAAAAAAAAAAAAAACAGAATTGCAGTGACTAACAAGACAAAAAAGACAGAGTGAGAACTAGTAATTGAGAGAAAAATAAGCACTCATCATGGTCCCCAAGGGGAATATATAACAGGTTAGCATATGCAGGACTCTCCAGGAAAGCTTCTTGCTTACTGATATGCTCTACAGTGTACCTACATGCTTCATATATTGTGTGCAGGAAAACCATGGAAAAGAGACAACTGTCTGAATTTTTGCTCTTACCTTGAGTAGTCGCTTAAAAATAAAGTTTATAATAAATCACTTCAAGTGTTCAATATCAAGTAACAAAACTAGTCAGAATTATTCCCATTTCTTGGAAAAAGTTAATAATTTGTTTTACTCTTTTTTTTCTTTTCCTTCTACTTCAGAACATTCAAAAGGCAAAGCAGAGGAAAGAATGTACACACAGAGCAGTTTAAGGCTTTTCAGGCATATTTTTCCCCTTATATCAAAGCCACCTGTGCTACACAAAGTTTTACATTTTCATCCAGGGACATACAGACATAATGGAATGGCATCAAGCCCACAGCACAGAGAACTGCCTCTTTTACTGGGATCACAGCCAGGGAGAGGATGTAGGAAAAACTGAAAGCACAAAACACAAACCACAGATATTCCCTCTCTCTCAAAGAAACCCCAAAATGCCTAAAAGCTGTAGGAGAAACATTTTCCTTCAATTTAACAGATATTTGGCAAGAAGGATGCATTAGTCCTTTCTGAATAAACTTACTAAAAGCATTTCAGCCTGGTCATATACAGCCCAGAACGGTCTTTACTTGTTAAGGCAGATTCAGAGAATGAGTCCAATTCTTCCCTCTCTTACTGCCTTTTGTAGAGAGAAGGGGTCTATTGTGGGAGTAAACACAGAATTCGGCCAGAACATTTCTGGCTAAAATGACCCACATTTTCAAACAAAAAGAAATGTGAGTTTGCTGGCAACCAGATGTTACAGTGGGCCTCTAAACAACTGAAAAATATATGTTCTTTCATATGTACCTCTCTCATTTGTAGAGGTCTTGGTACTGCGGAGGAGGGAACTGGATCTGTATTAAGGCGTTTGAATCACTTCACAGTCATCACCATTTCTTATCTCCCTCTAAGTCCTACCTTTTAGAAACAAAGGTCATTTGTCAGATTTATCAGAGAAGCTGGATCCAGCAAAGCCCCTACTGGACTTGGTGCAATTTCAGCTGCTCCCTGAGGCAAAGAAAATCAACCCCTTAGAATAGCATTTTGCTCATTTTTTTGTCACTTTCTCTCATAAGGCTGATTGAAGTTCTTGTAAAGTTCTTGAAGTTCTGTGAAGAGGGAGGGAACAAGCCATAGGGTGGCTCTGGAGCACCCTGACAGGCTGGCTGAAGGCATCTTGGTGGCACCCTGCCACAGGCACTGCAGATAGACTGAGCTGCCCCAAGAACACCCCGCACCTTCTGTGACCAAGTCAGCAACCCAAACCTCCACCTAAAGCTCAGGAGCAGCTCATCCACTGTGAGACGAGCTCCTTCTGCATTAACTGTTACCATGAAGTGAAATGAGGAAAAGCGAGACTGGGCCATTGAGTTCCTTGATGTCAATGCAGAGGAGGCAGCCCATTTGGCCTTCTTCATGCAGTGTGCCTCCCAAGACACCTGCCTCATCCAGCAGTATTTTAGACAGCAGTTTTTGGGGTGAGGATCTGCCCCAATACTGGCTCTAGTACTTAGGAATTGTATTAAGAGGATGCTAAAGAATTATCTCTTGCAGAAAAACAGGGCTCCAAAATTATTTGAGCATTTAGATCTAGTATTTTCTTATCACTTTCACTGTTACGTCATTTTCCAAGCCAGACATTCCAGATGGCCTTACTATTTAGCAGGAAGATGAAATAAGATTAGATGTCAGACTGTTTCTCACTTCTATTGGCTTTCTGAGTTGGACAAAAAACATTAAATGTGATCTGGAATACAATGGTATTTAGTCCCAAGCATTAGTGCCTTGTGCACTCCAGACCCTGGCCCTATGCCCATTCACAGGTGAGGCTGCGGATCACCCCCCAGCCTTCCCATCAGTTTTAGGACCTCTCTTCCTCTCCCAGTCTAAAGAAAACAATTATGTTCCTCACCAACTTTGCTCCCTCTACTTAGCCTACTAACTACCTAAGCATGAAATTTCTCTATGAAGACACGTGTGCTTTCCAAACTGGTGTTCTGCCACGCCTCCTTCTTCAGACTAAATAATAGGAAAGAATACCCTTAAGGACAAGCATGAGAAAGTAAACTAGTGCAACTGGACAACACCACAGAATATCCACATTCAAACACTTGTGATCTGGTGGACAGCTATGATGTTCATCAGTATCAAATGCTCCCACAAGCAACCTCTGAATGCTCTGTCTCACCTTATCATCTGCTGGCACTCTGAATTGGGTGAGCCAGCAGGTCTTGAAGCTGTGCTGTTCCCAGTTGTTTCAAAGCAGACTAACAAGGGTAGATGTTTAGGCCACTATGTAAATGTCTGCCCATATATACTGTTTGTTGGCAACCCAAAAAACAGCCAGACAATAAAGCCAAAATCATGTGGTAGTACACCTAAATCAGCAAGACAGTTTCTCAAATGGAATAAACTGATGCATATAATTGAGTAAACAAGGTATCTGGTTAGTCTTAACTGGGTACCTGGACAGGTAAGTTTTTAAACTTTTAAAGTGGACCACTACACAAAAGGATATAAACATTCATCTCTGCCTTTCGAAATAATGTTTTAAAGCAAATTCACTTAAATGTACACAGAAAGAAGGGAAAACAAGGAGACAAACCACATTTTGGTATGACTTTCAACCTCAAGCAAGTGTTATCAATGAAAGGGAAAAAAAAAACCCCACAGATTAAAGGTGTTCTATGTCCTTACCAGACTGCATACAAAAATGTCAAGTCTCTGCTTTACTACTTCTAACACAAAATAGATTATCACATCTCTATAGTCAGTTACTTAAAGAGGCATAGAAAAATGTCAGTAGTAGAAAGGAGCTGCTGGCTTCTGCACCCCTGGGAAGGCACACGGACTGAACACTACAAGCCACTGGTCTTCAGTGTTGGGTGCAGGTCAAATTATTTTTCATAATGCAAACCAAGACAGACTCCACAGTGTTCGGATTTCACAAACAGTCTTGACCTCCATAAACAATTTACATTTCCAAATGCAATTTCACTTAACAGCACTAGAATCTTCTCTTCCTATTTGCCTCCTTTGGCAAGTAAAAGCACCAGACACAGTTTATCCTTACAAAAAGTTATTTCATTCTAAGATTTCTTTATGAGAAGACAAAGGGATACAAAGTACTTCTTTCTTCCTTAGAACAGCTCAGTTTACCTTTCTGTTATTGTTCCTCTCCTTACTTCCCACTTGCCTTGAACTCTCATTCATTTATGCTGCAACTGGTTTACCTTCATGAGCATCAGCAGGGACACTGCAGCAAGGACTTGGACACTGCATTATTGTTACCTGCATCTAAGAGGCAGATCAACTATGAGGACTGTATTCAGCAAAGCACACCTCTGTGCCTAGGAGGAGTTCACTAAAGTTTCGGGAGGAAACTGGGGTGTGGGGGCATGTGATGAAATGATAAAGTGTTCCTCAGTATGCAGAAAAAAGCAAACACTAAAGAATTTAAGAGCAAGTCATTGCAAAGAGGGACAAATAATACCAGAAGATAGCCCCTACTCTGACCCACTCCAGCAAACTGCAGTGCCACAATATACATTAAAAGAAACAACCATGTCAACCTCAGGGGTTAAAATATCAAAAATACTACAGAATATCGTGTATGTGTATTATGGGTACAACCAGAACACCTGTACTTCAGGGAGGCTTTGTAAAGTGAGAACTCACACCTAAGAGAGAGGTCACTTTTCAGCAGAACTCTTAACTGCCTGCCAAATTCTACCCCTCGGGCTCCACCCGGGTTGCCAGCCTCTGCCACTCACATCAGCCCACCCCCAAGGCCCATGTGTCACAGAGTCCTGAGGAATTAACAGATTATGCTCTCTGTGCCTAAACTGTAGCAAAATTGTTCTTGTGATTCTTGAGACTTCTTGATACTTTGCCCAGAAAGCCACAAATTCACTGGAGTCTTTCATATTATTTAGCCATAGGACAATCTTTCTTCCTAGCTAAGACATGTCTGCTCACAGAACAGCAATGTGAAAACAAACAAACAGCTGGCATTACAGAGAAGCTCTCCAAATACTGTGTGTATGGAACTAGTATTTGAAAAATAATACCACTGAAATAATTACAAGCATCTGTGTCAGTTATGTATAGTTCTTTTTGTGGTAATTGCTCCTATTTTTCTTATTGTTAACTCACGAAATTTTGTTAACCATCTTTGGGTTTGATGGGCACTCTCACAATCAACAAGACAGTAGTGCTTCAAGTGGTTTAATTTAAGGTTCTGTGATGGTTTAAACTTTTCTTTTTTCTTTAAAATCACAATCGTGGACTCTTCTGTTTGTTTTAGATTGAAGCTTTTGGCTTCTTAATTAACAAGAAAAGTTGGATTTAAAAAGTATAAAAATCTAGTGTAGCTGAAAGCCCCAAAATGTTAAACCTAATAAAATGCATTCACTTTCAATCTCAGGAATTTAAACTGTTCTAACTGTTACATCTTAATTGATAAAAGGACCAAAGGAAGGTTGTGAAAGAATGCCAGGAATTGACAAAGGAACTGGTAAAGCTGTCAGAGACACCCTGAAGAAGCAACACCATGACTAAAACAATGAAATACTGCAATATATGGGAGGGATGACACCATAAGACCCTCAAGCAGGGAAATACCAAGATAAGTGCACAGGAACAAAAGCTGCTGGATAAAATCAAGGAGAGAGCTACTTAAACTATGAGTGAATTTTCCTCATTAACACAGTAAAAACCCTTGCTTGAGTAGGAAAAAGTCCCCTGCCAAGAAAAGCCCGTTCCTCACTGAACATGA